AATAGAAATGAAAGAAATTGTAAAAGGTAAGAGCAAATGACAAAAAATAGGTGACCTCAGCTGTATGCATGTTTCGGCAATCAGCTGATATGTTTTTACTTAGGAAGGTGTACGATGCTTTTGAATCTATCCAAATCATAAATCATCTCTTTTGGCAATCTTAATCATAGATTCTATCGCGTATTCCTCGGACTAATGCCTTGGTTATAATGGCCGGGGCGAATAGTAACAAATCGCGGCGAATTCGTAAGGATCTATTTTGATTTTAGATTGTTCCGTTTTACGTTACGTTTACGTGCATTACAACCATTTGCATTCATTTCCCATACAATAGATAATTAAGTGAAAGCTCACTCCGTTCCGTAACTTCCATTATAACCCAGGCATAAATCTAGGAAATATGTCAAAAAATAAAAATTCGCTCAGAACGAGAGAGTAGCACTGAAAAATACCGGATCGCTTTCTAGTAAAAAGGGTAACTTCTGACAACTTCGACATAACCTTCAAATTTTGCTTATTTTGCAAGTAACCATACTCAGCTCACACATGTAAATAACTAACAAGTAGTTGAATATTTGATAACATGCAAAAGCCAAGTACACTTNAAGTCGCCATTATTCGTGACTTAAGTTGCACTATGAGTGGATGAAAAATTTTCGGGTTATTTTTTTTTCGGGCGAAACGGCGTAAGGCAGATAAATTTGTATTTAATCATTGTAAATTTTTTCATCCGCCCTTAGTGAATACATATAAGTAAAAATTTAGCGATTTCGGGCGAAAATTAAACTCACGATAGGGCTGAATATTTTTAAAGAAGTTTTTTATTAATCTTAATTTTTGTTGTCATCTGGACTATAAATTTCTCACCTCATTTTCGCTCTTAATATATTTATTGGACCCATCTGGCAGCGCTCTATTTCGCACACGACACCGAAGGACTGCTGCGAATTTGTTCAACCGTAGAGAAAGGTATGGAATATTCTGCAATTTTTTGCTTCTAAAAAATGTAAAAATACGAAAATCCATATAAAAACCATATTGAAGGTCTGCAGAAAGCAAAAAATTTAAAAAAGTGTGGAAAAGTTGTGAAATTTTGTTGAAATAGTGAAAATAAGGTCGTCTTGGGGGAAGTGAACGAGCAAAAAGTGTTCAGACGAAAAAAAGAGATACGAAATACTACCGTAAGCAGATGAGTCGCCTATGCGGTGAGAGCGAGCAAGAAGGCAAGAACGAGAATTGGATTAAATAGAGAAATCGTCTGGTTGGATAAGAAAAACAAAAAAGGCAAATCAACAAATATATAAAAAGAAATACAAAATGTTGAAAAAAAAACAAATTCGACTACGAATGCCACAACAAAGTAAAATAATAAAATATGGTAGAGCAGAAATTACGAGCTGGTGAAAAAACGTAGAAATGGTGACCACAAGTAAAAAATAAGCAAAAGTCTGGTGTTGCGAAGAAAATTATGATATACAAATTAAAATTTACTTTCTAATATATATAGGATTTTGTTTTGTAGGTTTAAGAAGTGAGGAGACTAACGCATAGCTTTTGAACGCTGTAACAGTTGAGTACCGATATATGCCATTAAAATGGAAATTCGGGCAAGTGGGTTGTGGGTTCTGCAATAAGAAGCTCAAAGACCTTAAATGGTATACTAATTTAGTGATTAGGCATACATATTACCACTAATCTACAAATAGTTACAAGAAAACTGTGCTTGAAACATAGCTACTGCGTATAAAGCTGTGAAAAGCTAAATCGCGCTGCGGGCGCCAGATGAGTGGGTGCAAATATGTGCGTATTTCACCATCAAATTTCCGGCCTTTACTCGGTGCTTTATTATATATGACGCGGTTTGTACTGCGCCGAACTGTGTTAAGTTGTTGCTGTTGAAGCACCGAAAATCATATTTTATGACCACAAAAGTAGCTCCAAGATTTCCGTGACTATAAGTAAACGTGTTGCATAAAAAACGGCAAACACCCATGTCAGCAAGTTTACCTAAAATACATATTTTAAAAATCGTATGTTGAAAATTGTATTAACCGACTGATTTTTACCTTTCTTCTATTTGCAGTGTAAAAATATGCATTTCAAGATGTCGTAATTAACTAGGATATGGATGCTGCATCAGAACTTAAAATTAATCCGACAACAAAAAATTTAATAACATTGTAAAATAGATTTGTATAATAATCAACACTTCATATACCTACATCATATATCTTAAATCACGTCAGTGCACAATAACAAAAACTACTCATAAAAAGAACAAAATAAACATAATAATTTCTGTAAAAAAATACGCATAAAAATAAAGAAAAAAATGACCGAGAAAGAAATGCAAGCACACGATTTCGTGCGGCGGCGTAACTGGTCGCGTGCCGTTTCGCTCTACGACCAAATTTTAGCGCAAATCTCGGCAGCTGCTGCCGCCGCCACAATCGCCTCCGCCAATGGCAACAACACCGCGGGTAATAACAATAATGCAGCATTGGCGCGTTCTCAAAAAGATCGGCAAATTGCCTGTCTATTGGGCCGTTGCGAATGATGCTAGAGCTGAACCGCTATGAGCAGTGCCTCTCTGATGCGCGCAAAGTGCTGGCACTGCTTGCTGATCAGTCGGCGGATTGCTTGGCAATGTATCACGTGCGCGCCGTTGAGCTCGTACATGCGCTATGCAAGCTGAAAAAATACAATGTAAGCCAAGATTTTTGTATCTTAACAATTCTAAGTTCTAAAGTAAGATTATTTTTCTCCTGTTTTGCTTTTATGTAGGAAGCTGAGCAACTGCTTCGCGAGTGGATCGGCGAATTGAGCGGCCAACAAAGTTTTTTAGATATTTCCAAAACACTGGAACGATACAAATCGATCATTCAAATGATTAACGGGCACAAGTCCACACAGAAGATCTCACAATCGCGTCTTGAAGACGAAATGTCCATATTGGATACAAAACTTGATCATTGGGCTACTAATAATCTGCCTTTGGACAAGTATAGCAAGTTGCTGAGTAACAAAGGACTGAAGAAGACGCGTGAGGGTGGCAGCGAACGCGGTGGCGGTGATGGTCGTGGTAACGGTGGCAATAACTCTAATAATATTGGAGGCCCTGGTCAACATAATGGCTCTCTAGGTAGCGGTGGTGGCAGCAGTAGTATAAGTAGTAGTAGCAGTAGTGGAAGTGGCAGTTCTACAACGATACTGCAAAAGACAACCGATCTGTTGGCCGCGATAAAAGTGACTGGCGGCAAGCATGGCATACCAAATATAGGTGTAGCCGCCGAAGAGAATGACAATGCCACTTACTGTTCCTACTGTGCTATTAGTTTTGAAACACGTAATGAATTGCGGCAACATTGCCAAACTGAACGCCATCAGAATGTCATCATGTCGTACGAGGGTAAGTCTGTACATGTATTGATTTTGATTGTGATATTTACTAGGCATTGTTTCTATCTCATATTATCAGGACGCGATTGGAAGTGGAGGCCACCACCTCGCGGCTACACATTGGATTCATACAGCTTGTGCGAGGCGTACCAAGAATCACAGACGTGCCATTATGGCAATCAATGTGTTGAAGCGCACGGACAGGACGAACTAAATGAGTGGAAAGAACGCTTCGAGTATAGGCGCATGCGTCTGCAGAAAGCCAGTGAAAAGGAGCTCTATGGCAAGTCGTATACAGAACAAATATTAGACCGGTGGATACAAGCTACGGCACCCGAGCGCATAATGTGTGAGAAAGTAGATGGCGTGGAAGTACGTTGCGAACAAGAATTGGTAACGAGCATCAGTTCGAAAAGCTCGAAACGTGAATGGATTTTTGTGTTGAAGTCATCTCGCGTATTGCGGGCCGTTGCATTGTTGCAAGATGCACATCGCAATCATTTCGCCATCACAGGCATTAAAGTGGACAGTGCGGCGACTATTTTCGATCTAAAATCTAATCAAGAATGGGTATCTGCAACTCATAAAGTGTCGCCAGGTGGAAAAGATTCAATGAAACCAGGAGGAGAGTTCAACGATACAACGCTGTCGGGGCATAGCAATGCGACAACTGATGTGCAAACCTCAATGCTGGAACACAAAGTGACTATAGAATTCCACACAGATATCTATGGTACTTTTCGCCAAACGGTATGCTTTGACTTGGGCACCGAGCCATTGCTTGTGCAACAACTTTGTGTCGATGTAGTACCCGTTGGTGATGCCGAGCGGATTGAGGAGATAAAACGCGACATCATCAACAGTTCGGTAACACGTTGGGATATATCCAATACGAATTTAGTAAAATTCGAGACCACCATTGGTACACATCTGAAGACTGAAGCCTATTTGAATGATCTGAAGCACGAAAAAGAGATGCTCGAACGGTATCCTTGCCCACGCGCGCAAACATTCACGTTGACGCAGTCTACTATTGTTGAGAAGCGTCTCACTCAGCATAACTATCGATCTCGCATACATGAATTACTGTATGTGGAAGAGATTGCACGTTACGAGCAAATTGCGCGCTACAACGTGCGCACAAAACTGACTGTGACATCCAATTATATACTGACGCCAGCGGGCATGGCCACTAGCACAGCTAAATTTTCACTTACGGGTGAATTATTTGCATTAATGCGGCTGGGTAAAGATATTTCGGAAGATACATCAGCTGGACGTTTGATACTGTCAAATTGCTCTAGCGTTTATATAAGTGCTCCCGAAGAACTGCACGTACTAAAGGATCGAAAACGCAATGTTTATGAGGCCACCATCGAAGATAAGGGCAAGAATGTGATCTATCTAAAACTATCCGCCAAATGTGTGGATGGCATGAATTTGAAGGCTGACACCGAAATCGAAGTAGACATACAATTTCAACTGAATCGCTTGCCGTACTGTGAATGGCACAATGCAGTTGATAAAATAACTGATTTCAAGATAATATTTCCTGCCACAGAAATTGAACCGAACATACCGTGGACACCGAAAAAGCAGTGGTCGGATGCTTGTGAGCCAAAGTTAAATGCGAAACAACGCGAGGCCGTAAATGCCATCACTACATCTCTAAGCATTAAACTGCCGCCCATTTTACTGATCGGTCCATTTGGCACTGGTAAAACATATACGCTTGCGCAAGCGATAAAGCAGCTTTTAAC